TCAGTGAAAATTAGTCATTTTACAGTACTCACTCTTGGGCTGATACCACCATCCAGTATCTTACATGTATACAGACATTTCTGTTGTGGATTATTCATACTACAGTATATTCTTGTGCTACAGAATCCTATGGGATAGATATAGTCTTCATTATGGTAGTTAGATTTACTCTGTATATCACCTAAACTGTACACTGTCAGACTGCCAAGTACTATGGGGAAGATTGGTTTACCTAGAAAGAATACAACATTAGTAAGCTAGAAAGAGAGTAAGTAATTTATTCAGGTATGGTTGAGATGGCGACGGTCACGGTACATTTGTGTGCACCCATAATAATAACAACCTTTTTTGATATCGTATCCCCTCTGGGCTCTAGATTAGAATACAATAAGGATATAAGGAACAATAAAATACATAAGGAATAATAAAAAAAAAGAAATAGTAAAATAGTATCTATGGGGACATCTATGGCATCTATGGGGACATCTATGGCATCTATGGGGACATCTATGGCATCTATGGGGACATCTATGACATCTATGGGGACACCTATGTCATCTATGGGGACATCTATGGAGATACCTATGGGCTAAATGTATGAGCTACGTGGGGCTATCTATGAATTCAATGGGTATGTCTATTCATCCTTTAATAGAGACGTATATCCATGTTATGGTATTGGCTAAAGGGTTGCATGTATCAATTGGCTTTATTGGGCATCTATGAGTTTTATGGGATTTTGGAGACATCAATTGGCTTTATTGGGCATCTACGAGTTCTATGGGATTATGGAGACATCAATTGGCTTTATTGAGGGTGTTTGTTCTATGGAAACATCTATGACACTATGAAGACAATGGATTTCATCTATGGTTATATGGGAATATCTATGGGTTCTGCATAGTATTCTATAGGATTGCGCAAATTATCTCTTTCAACATGCATTTAACTGAGTTAGTGTCCACCCTATTGACGGTACCGTAAATCGAGGACTAAACATGCATTACATAGTCCCAGTGAGTTCTCAAGTTTAAGAAATACATAAAGTTTGAACATGAACAGTCAGAGAAAGTCAAAGATATGGCTCCAAACCTGCATACCAAAATGGCCACCAGTTGGCCATTTTAAGTCTGATGTGACAAAGTGAGGTGCATTAACAGAGAAAGTCAAAGATATGGCTCCAAACCTGCATACCAAAATGGCCACCAGTTGGCCATTTTAAGTCTGATGTGACAAAGTGAGGTGCATTAACAGAGAAAGTCAAAGATATGGCTCCAAACCTGCATACCAAAATGGCTACCAGTTGGCCATTTTAAGTCTGATGTGACAAAGTGAGGTGCATTAACAGAGAAAGTCAAAGATATGGCTCCAAACCTGCATACCAAAATGGCCACCAGTTGGCCATTTTAAGTCTGATGTGACAAAGTGAGGTGCATTAACAGAGAAAGTCAAAGATATGGCTCCAAACCTGCATACCAAAATGGCCACCAGTTGGCCATTTTAAGTCTGATGTGACAAAGTGAGGTGCATTAAGCTCTCATCAAGTTCAATGAACAAAATCTATCTTTGCATGACCCAGATCCAGATCCGGAATTCCAGAAATGCTTGATTTTGATGAATTTTCAACATTAAAACAGCCACAATTCAGCCAACTTGAATCAAATAACCGGAATGCTAAATTTTGATAAATTTTTAACATCAAAATGGCCACCATTCAGCCATCTTGAATCTGATCATCAAACAATTATATGTGCGACATGATGTATTGAACATGATTGATCAAGACAAGTGAGAGATATGACAGGATTCATTAAAACAAAATGTCAGTCAGCCATTGTGATGTGCATCAAGGCACACACAGATGCATGCACAGAGGGTCATAACCTAATTTCCTATTTACAGAGTGCATCAGAACAGGGACTAATAGAACTGAAGGCATTTACCTGTTTACAGAGTGCATCAGAACAGGGACTAATAGAACTGAAGGCATTTACCTGTTTACAGAGTGCATCAGAACAGGGACCAATATAACTGAAGGCATTTACCTGTTTACAGAGTGCATCAGAACAGGGACTAATAGAACTGAAGGCATTTACCTGTTTACAGAGTGCATCAGAACAGGGACCAATAGAACTGAAGGCATTTACCTGTTTACAGAGTGCATCAGAACAGGGACCAATAGAACTGAAGGCATTTACCTGTTTACAGAGTGCATCAGAACAGGGACTAATAGAACTGAAGGCATTTACCTGTTTACAGAGTGCAT